CGTCGATTTATTTATGTAAATTCATAAAGAAAAGTTTTTTATCCTTGCCTCAATTGTTGTGAAAAAATATGATTAAGTTCAGACAAATTGATATAAACTATGGGTAACATTGATTCACCCGTTAAAGAGATATTTGAGGATCAGTTGCGCCACGAGTTTTTGATCAAACTTTTGTATAATTCGATGTGTGCCACGACATGGCCCTATCGGTCATCTGTCGGACACACGGGTACGCTACGTCCTCGAAGAGTTCAAGATTCATGAAGATGCTTGCATTGCTCTTCCTCTATACGTCCTGCCCTGTGATGTCATCTTGGTAACACTGTACTCATTTGAGGCCTGGGAGTATTTGGCCCTTGGTCCTCTGTCAGATTGCCAGCGAAGACGTGATGCCATACACTAAGCTATTGTCAACGTACAGCCTATTGTTGTCAGCTTCTTTGACTTTTCATCCAGTGGTATAGCTGGAGGTACGTTTGTCTGAAATCTATCTTTGAGAACCTTTCCCTTTGTTATAAGGAGACGGTCATGCCATCACTTTTCTGGAAAGTGTGCATTGATCTACTTCCATAACAAAAGTGTAGAGTTCTTAACGACTTTGGATTAAAGTGATCCTTAACTCACGTCTGTTAGCCTCTTCGCCGTCGCACGCAGGAGATCCCAGTTCCAGTTTCCGGTGGAGTAGAATTGTGTATCGAGTATTCCGGTCTTCCTGATGGGATGTTGTAGATCTACCTCTCTTAGCCTAGGTAGTCCAAATATCTAAATTGTGTCGATGGGGCGGGAATAAATCCACATTAAGACGACATTGCCCTTGCATGTTAACCAAGATACCTTATTTAGACAGTCAATATATACATGTACTGTATATAATGGAATTGGCAATTTTGTGGCGTGGCATTGCCTTGGTCGTATTTGTAGGAAACATTCAGAAAACCTTGACTGCACGTAAAATAATGTAACTGGTTATCTAACCTGCATCAGGAGGACAACTACTTTTTCGGTAAAATTACAAAAAACTGTCACAAAATGCTATAGTATGACAGTTTGTAAGAATATTATAGGTACACCCTCACTTTTTTTTTAACTATTTGGAAGGCAAATGAGAAAACCATATGGAAATATTTCAGGTTGTTTATTTTCAAGATGCCTGCTTTTTCTATAGCAATCACAGCAACAATACATATAAATCAAAGCACAGATGTAAAAATCTCTCTAATTTAAGCCATATATGTACTAGTAGAGAACATCGACCTCAGATTCAGTCTAAGATACTGATTGAGTATCACTCTCGGCCCCGGGCTGATCCTAACAGGAAGGGTCGAAGCTCCAGCCTTCTAAAAGATCTAAATTCATAGATGCAGACCGCTGCATGTAAATATATAT